AAAAATAATTTTAATGTCATACAAAAAATGTCATCGGCCTGAGTAAATTGTACCAATATAGAATTGTGACTTCACAAGTGTAGTAATTTAGGAGGTGAAAATACTGTGAAATTACAAATGGCATGACATTTGAAAGCTAACAACTGATGAAACGTCAGTCAATAAAGCATTTTAAACAATGGCATTTAAAGTTTTGAACTAAAAAAATCATTGCAACCATATAGCCTGCCTTTAAATGAAAATGCAAATTTGTCAATTAAAGAAAACTTAGAGAGTGTGGGCTGCTTCTGGTGCTTGTATTTGTACTTCAATAATGAGGTCCAAGAAAACGCTAGAAGTAAAAAAAAAAAATTGATGTATTTTTTTCTCTCTCTCTATTTAACTGCATTATAATGAAAGACGTCTTCCCTCAGGTAGACTGAATGTTGGGCTCATGATCAATAAGTTGTTTGCATTCGCCCAAACTGAATCAAAACGCGGACGGTGAAGGGAACTGCCGTCAGCGCGAGACCCGCTCGCTGTGAAGCGGGAGCCGGCAGAGGATTCCGCTTGGTCTTAAAGCCTTCCCCAAACGGCTACTACACAAATAAAACAACCATTTGCGCAAAAAGAATGATTAATTATCAATTGAGAATTTGTTATTGATATGGTCTGGTGAAAATAATAATATGGGCTGCGAGAAAATTATAAATAAAAAGAGTGGGGCTGCTATGAGTGCAGGCAGTCTAGGGACAGCATCACTGATCTATAGCCTATATAATATCTATTATAGATCAGTGGACAGCATCCATATTTCAACCCTAGTGGCATGACAACACCGCGGCCCTCGCGGCCAAAAAAACAGACCGGCCCACCGGGAATCATCCCGGTGCTCCCGATTAGCCAATCCTGTGACTCCCTGTAAATACTTTGACCTGAGCTGATGGTGAAATAGACCTTCATCACTCTCTCGTTACTATAATCTCTCTATTTGTATAACTATTTTTAACTTTTCTTCCAGTAAAATGCATATTCTATGACAGACACCTGCCAATCTATTACTCTTTGATAAATCAACCGTCCACTCCCATTACAAAAGCCCTGTTGCTCTGGTCACTGTGCCTTTCAGAAGTTTTGAATAAGTGGGAAATTGTTTCAAGGGAGCTGACTTTGTCTCTGAACCTTCAATAGATCATACCATGACATTCATGACACAATAAAAAATACCTCCTGAAAATATTGAAGGTGAAAATCAGCAAACTATTAATAACCTGACCCACCTCATCCATCAACCACCTAGTTAAGAGTCAATTCCCAGCCAGTGAGACATCTGAAACAACCTGCATTTTGTTTTTGCTCCCCAACTTTGCTGTTTTTAACAGGCCGGCCGGTTTGCTGAACCGGGTCAGAGCCCAAGGATCCCACGACAAGTCCAATTACTCAAGTTAACGCCCCCCAAAACAGCATCACCTGTCCAGTCCATTAGTCTAATATAGATATTTGTAGACTAAATGGTATGTATATTCAGGAACTTTTAATTACTGTCTCTTTCTGACAGGTAAGTGTGTGGCTGGTTATTTGAAACTGTCCTAAGAGACTTCATTCCCTGCCTTTGCTTGCTGGAGTCATAGGTATATACAGCCCCATTGGACAAGTCTGATGGATGGTCCTCTCTTGTTGAGTTTCCATCCTCTGCTTCCGGAGGGAACGTGACATAAATAATTGGTGTCACTCCCATCGACCGAGTGCCACACTCGAAGGCGGGGCTCAAGCAGCTGACAAAACACAGCTGTCTAATCTCACAAGTTCTCACCATATCCTAGAGGGCCTTCCATCTCCTTACAGAGAGAGAGAGAGAGAGAGAGAGAGAGAGAGAGAGAGACACGATGAGACCGTTTACATTTTAGCATCATGTAAAGACGGACCAGAGGAAGAACATACAGTGCATGATTATGTTTGCATGCCAGTATGGATGGCATACAGAAGTGAAGTTATTGCTTTAACTTTATTTGTAATAGTACTGTAATCATTTGAAAGCTTTATACTCAAATGTTTAAACAGAAACTGCTTTATTCCTTTTAAATGCAATCACCTTTATTTATTCATGTATTTATTTATTTATTGGTGGAAACATGCTTCCATAGTCCTGATATCATAATGAAGAATAAAAAAAGCGTAATTAAAAGGATGTTATTTCATAGAAAAAAATATCAAATTAATCGAATAATAATTTTGTCCGTCAAATCAGTCGAATTATGTAGTGCAACCAAGACGCCGGAGGAAAAACAAAACAGGAAATTATATCATTAAAAAGACCCCTGCAGACTCTCATGACCATATTTGAAGGTTAATAATACTCTTAAAATATTGGATAATTTGACCTTTGACAAGACAAGGAGGGTTCAGGTTGGAAATTCAAGGTGTAAGAAAAATTTAACATTTTGTTGAAAACATTTTTCAAAACCATATGAAAACAACACAAAGAACAACATTTGTGAACTAAATACAATTTTAATAAACTTCAATCAGTATAGTCTTAAATGCTCTAGTAGTTTAGCCTATATATGAGGAATATGATAATAATAACGATTTAATGCATCATAATCAAATTGAAGACAGTGATGACAAATAAAGAACAGTTGGAGTTACTTTGAAATTATGAATCCCGTTTTTTAAGATTCAGAACACATTCAGTGGCCTGCTGCCTGTGTGACACATCAGATCATTAAACACATTTTGGCTGTTGCTGTCATTAAGAGGTTTTTGGGTCTTGAGCATGTCCATGGTTGCCCAAACATATCTGTAAATGTGAATAAATAAGAAGACTTGCTGGAGGAAGCACCTGCTCCCTGACAGGGGGCTATTTCCACCCTCAACACTGGGATATACAGACATCTATTCCGGAGGATAATGCGAGGGGGTTTTCCTTGTTTACCTTTGAGTGTTATGCCTGCAGCCAGCTGCAAAGACCCGCTTAGTGCGACTCCACTCCTCTCATGCTTCCAGATGTTCCAGGAAAAACAAGTGTGCCAGCCTGTCGCTCAGGAGAAGAGTCATTTGAAGCTGTGTGCCAGGACTTCCTGCCTCACACACTACACAGGTGGATGTCAGTTACAACAGAGCACACTTGTCTTTTACAGTATTTTACTGAACCCCAAGCATGCAGAGCATTCAGACCAATTATTCACAAAAATAATTTAAAATCAAAACCAGTTTATTATAGTGATTTTACTATGCTGATTGTTTAATTATTATCCTAATGTTGCTACAGACTGTATTTGAAAATTATACTCAGTACAGCATACATCTTG